CTTGTATATATATATATAGTTGGCTTTAAGGACAAAATGACTTCGATCTGCTGTTGCTATGATTATTAGCTTCCCAGCAGAAAAGTTTGGCATCACCAATAATCCAAACAGATCAAACAAATAAGCTTGAAAGCCAAATAACAATCTTAACATACACTGATATTCTTCATAATACGAACAATGTCGGCTTTGGGAAGAATCTCAGATGTTCCTAAAAAGCTGCCAGCACTAATATGTTGAAAAAACATGGCTATCATCGTCTTGTAAAACTTATGTGCACATTGTTCTGTAACCAGCTTTCTTTAACTGAGAAAAAAAGTCCTCCACCATCCTATAGATCTCATTGCTCTCCGGATGCGATCTATCATCAGTAACAAACTCATGAAGTACATTTTCTAATTCAATAAAACTGCACCCATAATTTTTTAGAATGCTTATTCCTCTTATCTTCCTCCTTACTGTAGCCATATCATCCCACTGATTAACCTGAGCATACACATTTGACAGAAGCACATAATGCCCGTAAACATGAGGCTCTAATTTGATAAGATTCATTATAGCTTCCTCTGCTACGACAACATTTTTTATGAATTCTGTATGCCATAGGTAATGCCCTCCAAACAACAGCATCTGGCCGAACGGCATGCCTATTAGAAGACCTCTAGCCTCTTTGATAAGCCCTGATCTACCAAAAAAGTCAACCAAGCATCCATAATGCTCCATCTTAGGCTCGATTTCAAAAATTTTACTCATTGAGTCAAAATGAACCTTGCCTTCACTTAAAAGACCAGAATGATTACAAGCACTGAGGACCCCTACAAATGTGACATTGCTTGCTCGTATTCCCTCAAAATCATCTTTGAGAATAGATTCAAAGCATCATTAACTAGTCCAAGGTTTGTCAGACCAATAATCATTGGACCCCAACAAAGTTCATCCTTTTCAGTCATAGAATTAAAGACTCTGAGGGAATTCTCTATATCGCCACACTTAGCATACACATCAATCAGAGAAGTTTCAAGCTTGATATCCACTGAAATCCCATGGCTTTCGATCAACCTATGGATCTCCTTGCCCATGCCTAAAGCACCCATGTCTCCACAGGCAGAAAGAACTATGGCCATTGTGATCTTATCAGGCACAAAGCCACATAATTTCATCTCATGAAACAGCATAAATGCCTCTTGAATTTCCTACACTGAACATAGGCATAGATTAACGAACAACAAGAAACCAAATATCACTCTTTCATTCTATGAAACAAGTCCCTCGCAGCACCGATATCACTGCTCCTGGCATAGCCATGAATCATGGTATTCAAGGAAATCAAGTCTTTTTCAGGCATTGTGTCAAACAGTTGACGGGCTTTTAATATAGCTCCACGGTTTCGCATAATCTGCCAGCATCGCATCATACACAGCCAAATCATTCACGGGCATTTCATCGAACACTTGCCTTGCAATGCCAATATTTCCAGTCTTAGCATACATGTCTACTAGGGCTGTTTGCACAAATAAATCAGAGCAGAAACCGAGCTTGACAGCATGGGCGTGGATGCTAGGCCCAGTTATGATATGCTGTAATCTACCGAATGCCTGAAGGGAGACTGAGATAGTGTGACTATCGGCAGTAGCAGTGCTTCCAGAAATTATACTCATTTGCCGAAAAAGGAGAGATTCGCCTGGAATCCGCGCAGGTATATAAGCACGGATGAGTGTAATTCATATAAAAGTGTCGGGGATTTGTGTTTGATCGAAGAGTGCTCGCCCATAAATTATAGCTTGATGAGAAACGCGTTCTAAGCACCGGCGGAGAAACTTGGGCAGCACGAAGATGCCGTGGTCGAAGGAAGACCTCACGCGTGGATTTTGAGGAAATCGTCGACGGCTGCGGCTTTGTCGATGAGAGCCATGGCCATCTGCGCCGCGATTTGCCGGGAGGGATCGGAGAACGGTTTTCAATGTTCCCGATAGAGACCAGAGACAGGAGACGGGAATGCAGAACTTGACAATAACCACAGTATTTTCGGATATCTTGAATAACTTGATGACTGGGTATGGCGTGTTCAAAATGACTACTTTTTTTTCATAATAATATGAACTTAATAGAATTAATTTAAATTTATTTAATGTGAAAGTTTCAAATATAACGAATCAGTTTTTTTCTCATCCTCTCAACTTATAGCGATTGTTTCTTTGAACAACCAACCCGTCTTATCATGCTGAGACTAGCTTGAACTCATTTTTGTCTAGCTAAGTCACAACCAAGCCCGAAGACTTCTTGTTGAATCCTGATTCGTACTTGAATTACATACCCCAAGGGTTAGAGCGTCACAAAAGAGGGTTAAAAATAGGCTAAGAGATAAATAAATAGTAATTAATGGTAAAACACGTTGTCAATTAGTCTTTTCCTCATAAAATGATCTCATTATTTATAAAAGAGATGGTACAATATATGATTTTAATTTTTTTCCCTTTGTTTAATGGGAGTCGTTACAAGATATTCTAGGCATTTTATGTGTATGAGTCTATTGTTTGACTGTCGTGTGACTCGATTGGCTGGTCTAGCTTGTATTTGGCTTGATAAGGTTGATTCGATCAGCTTGGCTGAGTCAATGCAAATAGTTGGTTGGTCATGATTAGTTTTGGGTTGGTAGCACTGATTTGGTTAGTTACACTTTGAAGCTTGGTGAATCTAATCTGACCATCAACCATCGATCTTAAGATGTGGAGTTCATGCGAGCATGAATGGATTAGGCTATTAAGCAAGAGTTGAATTAGGGCAACTCAATAGATGACCCATTCCCTAATGAGTGGTTTCTTTGGGATGACTGTGAGACTTTGTTGCCTCGTCAATTCTTGTTCCTCAATGAGGAACCTCAGAGACATACCCTGATGAGTGGTTTCTTTGGGATGATTTGAATGATGCGACATGATCAATCGGGTCGGTCCTCCCTTTTTAAGAATTCAAGTGAGGAATCCTTAGCTTGGGTTGAGATATTGCCTCTTTAATTTCAAGTAAAGACCCCTCCTACTACTGGTCGTACAAGCACTCGCATCCATTCTTCTCATCGTCGGTTCGCCCGCGCAAATATTATACAAGTATGTATTTTATACAATTACATAAAAAAAGGAATAATTATGAAAACCGTTCTTAATGTAATTAATGTCATGATTAATTACATAGATTTTTATATCATATTTGTATTACAGTTTGAATTCTAACATGATGGCAAATGACAGATTGACTTGCTTGACTTTGGTAAGTTGAGATGCTCGGTTGAGTGACGATATTGTCTTGTGGTAGTCTGTCGAGGCATTAGGTTGAGTGTTAATCTCGTTCGTTATGACAAAAATTACGTCGATTGATTAGCCATTATCGAGGGTTCTCGCACGCGCCCTGTATGGTTGGCCGGCTGACGAGTCGATCTGTTTCATTGGGTGAGTTGTTGCTTGTTTGTCGTTTGGCTAAAGTTTTTACAGAGCTCATGCCTTCATTTGTTTGGTCGGTTTGTCGGCCTGACCGAACATTCCTTTTCGCAAGATCTTGGGTGGATCTTGTTGTTACATATGCAGAATATCCAACAAGACTCGTTGCGGGATATTTTTGCGCCCCACTCTTGAAGGATCTGGTCACCAACAAGTCGAAAAACATCTCAAGAGATTTGATCTATCCCAGATTTAGAGACGCGACTTCTCATACTCAATTGTCGGTCGATCACTTACCTCATAGAGAAGTTTTTAGCTCTCGATCGTTCGTTTCTTTGAGATTTATTCCTATAATTTTATTGTATACAGAAATGTTAAGTTATACGACAAAAAAAAAAAAAAAATGCAGACTTATTCACATCTCATATCACATGAGAATCTATTCAAATCATAATAATTACTGAAAGCGGACCCAATGAAAGTTTGGTGGCATGACCATAGCTTGCCCATTGTCGGTCACTTCAATCCAAGTGTTCGCCGTGCTGTTTAGGCGTTTAGCCGGAGCCCGGAGGCGGCTAATAAATAATTCACGAATCTGAACACATTGGCCTCCTCCCATCCGATCATAGTGGCTGGCGTGATTGATCGGGTTCAAGAGATGGACAGTCAGGATTGTACCGCCAGCCCGGCGTCGACATGCCCCCTATTTCAGCCCCTTAAAAGGGTACCGCCCGCACGAACTCATCGTGCGGTCGTGGAGGCCGAAAAAGCCCATCGTACCGTCAGTCTAAAAATTGCCTTGAAGCAACGGACAGATGTAAAAGAATGTGAGTGACGGAGATGACGTGATAAATATTCTACGTATTTTTGTACTTTAAAAAAAAAATTGTCTTCTCTCTCTCTCCCTCTCCCTCTCCCTCCATCCCGCTTCATTATCTCAGCCCTCAGACGTTCAGGCATCGGAATTTCCCGGCGAGATTGAACTGTTTCGGGCGGGAAGCTCGACCGTTTTGAAGTAGTTAGTGGATCGGAGGATTTGAAAGAGTGGGGTGTTGGTTTGATTTTATGTTGCGGTTTCTTCTCCAGGTATGGCTTGCTGATGGTGAGCTTCTTTGAATTGAAGTTGCTGAGGGTTGTAATTTGTGGCACGGGGTTCAGGGTTTCGGCGGCGCGAAGCTATTTTTTGTTTTTGGTTTCGTGTTACTGAGGGTTTGAGCTGGTATTCTGCTCAATTGGTGTTCGCGTTGGTGTACGCAATGTGAGAGAGTTGTGCCTGGAGTTGATTGATGAATTTATTGGGTCTTTGGTTACGGTGTATTGAAGTTTTTTGTTTGGATGTTTTCTTACGGGTTTCAAGTGATTGGAATCTCGGGAGTTGGCTGCTGTGGAGTTGTTTCGCCTTTGCTTGACTTTCGGTTTTTGAATTTTTGATCTGTTTCCCGCGGTTCTACTGTTGGGCATGTGGATTGCCTTCGTTTGGATTCATGGCTGCATGGGCGCGATGATTTTAGATTTCTGGGGACGGAGCGAGGCGGATTAGGGTTTTATACCGCTAGGGTTTGCTTTCCGCCTCTGATTTAGGGGAAGCAGGCCGTTTAAACTTGGCAAGTGCGGCTTGTGCGTTTGGGAAAGATGGAGACCAACTTTGGAGGGGACAACCGTCAATTCTTTGCTGCTGGTTCTTCCAAGAGATTTGGGAAGGAAGCGCAGGAATGGGATTTAAATGATTGGAAATGGGATGGAGACCTATTTATGGCTACTCCGGTAAATCCTGGCCCGTTGAACGGCTTGAACAAAAATCTTTTCCCTGATATAGTGCTTTCAAACAGTTCGTCTAGTTGCTCGGATGAGACTGAGTTTGGACTTGGGAATGTGCTAGGCGAGGCAGACAAGCGGAGACGTATTGTAGTGGCGGAGGATGATGAGCAATGTGATGATACCGGGTCCCTTACTTTGAAGCTTGGAGCTCATGCATATCCGGTCATGGAAGAAGATTTTAGTCTCCCAGGAATGAAAAATGGGAAGAGGGTCATGATGCAGGCTAGCAATTCAAACCATCCTAAATGCCAAGTGCAGAGCTGTTGTGCCAACTTGAGTCAGAGCAAAGATTACCACAGGCGCCATAAGGTGTGTGAGACGCATGCCAAGGCTAGTAGTGCAGTTGTTGGGAATGTAATACAGCGCTTCTGCCAGCAATGCAGTAGGTGCGTACATTTTAGCTGAACTTCTTCTTTATCTATTTCAGATGGCTGCTATCAATCATGGCCCAAGCAGCTAAAGCCTCTTACTCAATAGAATACTCTCATATCCAACACTTCCATGATTTTCAAACATGCTCGAAGTCATTGGTTAGGCCTATCAAACGTATGAGTCTCTTCTTTGAACGTTTGATTTTTGTGCTTTTCTCGTTTTAAGTTCTTTGATATAAATTATTGGTTCTGTAGGAGAAAAAAAAAGGGTAAAAAAGAAGGAAAAACAAGATTGACTTATAAATTTGTATGGGTAACGTTGGGAATACGAACTAAGGAGCCTGCTAATGAATTTTCACTACATGCAATCATAGATGTACACTAACGCAGATAAAAAGAACAGAGAAGGCCTTCCCGGAGGAATCAAGCATATTCTAAATGATTTTTTTCAATGATATACATTAGTGAGTCAATAATAAGTGGACAAGATGATGGAAGTGCTAAATGCGTGCATTTAATAAAGCTCAGCATCTTTATTTTCTCTGCCTTTAAAATGGAGGAATCAGTTGTCGTTTTTTTGCTCTTTCTTAATCTACCAACACGTGTTGTGATGTTTAAGTATTGTTTTGCATACCTGAAAGTTTAGCAGTTGCCCTTAAGAGTTATTTTATTGCATAAGGTTAGATTTAATCACGAAAAATTTGTCACATGCTTTATATAGAAAATGTTTACATAGTAAATACTAATGAGTTTGTAATCTAGTACTAAGAAGCTACTGGTTAAACTTGACAATGATTTTGGAGCATAATTGACTGTATCAATGAGTAGTGGTAAGTCAAAAAAAGCTACGTAATTAAAATGTGTACCCATCTAGAAAATGTCATTTTAAGTTGGTGTGATTTTGTTTATATATATTTTATTTTTCTAAATTGATTGTTTTCTTTTGCTTTAGTATAGGGGGTTTTGGACTTCAATGAAACTAAACCAAACCAAAGTATTACATGTTTGATTTAATCTTGTTCCCTTCAACAAAAATAATATGTTAATATTTGAATTTATGACCCAAAAAGCCACTTTTTTTTTTTTTAATTTGTGTTAACTGTATTGAACCAAGAAATACTAATTTTAATTGAACCGCACTGAATCAAGTCATTTTTTTAACTCAAATTAAATGATCAAATTAAATTTAAATCGATTTAAAAGGATTTCATTCAATAAGAATCATTATCTCAGTTGTTGATCTAATGATCAAAATTAATTGGTATATATTCAATATAATTTCAAATTAAGAGAGTGAAAACTCCACCACTCTTAAAACAAAATTCCCAACAAAGGCTAATAAATTAGGCTCTGACTGTTGTGTATTAGCCCATTGTAATCCTAAAATCTAACCAACCCATTGACTTTGATGGAATGGATTAGTGATCGAACATGCTAATTATCATCTTTTAGATCCAAACTAGCGTGGAAATTTATATTATTCTTACAAGCTTTTAATTTGAGACTTTCTGAGTAATTATAGAAGTTTTTTATTGTAACTTGTTCACTTATTAAGAATGGCTCCAGGGTTTTATTACTAAGAGATTTTTAAATCAGAAGGAAGGTTAATCAAACATGATTCAAGGTTTCAACTTAGTTAAAACACTTTTACCATGCTCCTGTCTTGAATTGAAGATGATGCCTTCGTCCTTTATTTTTTTTCCCCTCAACATTTATTCCTTCTTGCTTGAGCCTACATGTAGAGTTAAAGTGTGGAGAAGAGAGAATCCAAAGAGAGAAAGAAGGACGAAGGTTTTTGAAGGAGTTATTATTTTTACATTCAAAATACCATTAAAAAGGAATACAGAGGAGGTTATATTTATCGTCTCCTCATGATATTTCTAATAAATAGTCACTCCTTTGATAATTTGAAATAATAAAATCTAAGCTATTATTATTGTTTTTTCCTTATCTCCCTCATTTTTCTATCCTTCTTATCTTCTGGGGGCAATTCCATGTGGGTTGGTAATTGAGTACTTTTAAGTGTTCCTCATGATTGAAATAGACATTTAAATGTCTGCTGCTCACCGGGGGTTCTTATTACTGTAGGAGCTGAGTGCTTTCATCACTTTTAAGGTATTTTATACTTTTCAAAATATTAGGTACACACCATTATTACTCCTAAAAGATAAAAATTTAATATGTGAAAATTATTTTTGCTACGAATTATGTTAATAAGGTAGAAATTAAGGGACACACACACACACAACGTTAAAAGTACAACAATAACAAAAAGAAGCCTTTACCCCACTAAGTGGGGTTGGCTACATGTATTCTTTTTCTCAATTATGTCATATTGAGTGTCATATTTTCTTTTAATTGTAATACCTTTAAGATCTTTTTTAATACAACATGCCCAAGCCTTTTTAGGTCTACCTCTACCTTTATTATCATAAGTCTAAACATTTACTCTCCTAACAGGATCATCAGGTGGTTGACGTTTAACGTGACCAAACCATCTAAGGCGACTCTATCTAATCTTGTTTGCTATCATAGTTACTCTAACCCTTTCATGGATTTATCATTTTACATCTTGTGTCTTAATGTAAAATCACTCATCCATCTTATCATTCTCGTTCAACAACACTTAATTTTATGTATTGTTTTATAGGCCAACATTTTGTTCCATAATACATTGCATTTCTCACCCCATCTTTTAAAATTTTTCTTTTAAGTTTAAGCGGTACGTTTTCATCACACAATATGCCCGGGGCATTCCTCCACTTCAATTCTACTAATAACATCCTCATCTATATTGCCATTATTTTGAACAATAGACCTGAGTTATTACTCCTTTAAATAACCGATCACCAATTATTACAACAACGCCACTAATCTATTATTACTAAAATTACATTCCATGTATTCAGTTTTAGATCTACTGAAACAAAAGTCTTTATGCTCTAAAGTTGACCAATATTTCTTGAACTCTCTCTTGCTCGAATTACGACTATTCGCGATTAAGGCTTGCTCGATCCTGGTGTTGCTTCTCTATATTCGCCGATATTCGGCCACGAGGGCGGCGCCTATTTGTTGTGATCTAGTCAGTCTTCCCAGCTCCAATCACATGTTGTCGGTCATGGAGGCTATTATATTGCGATCTCTTTGTTTCTCTGCTAGCTTGGATTGTGATGCGTATCACTATGTTCAGTCACGAAGGAGACTCGCAATCCCGTCGTTGCTACCCATAATCAAATCCTCCGATACTAATTTGATAGGAACCAGAGGAGTGTTTCATAAAAATTAGGGCAACCAAATATTTTATTTCAGTAACACCAAACAACACAACTTAAATACGTAAAGGATAAACACATATAATTTGAGAGGTAGGTGTCTCTCCCAAATCATAACCCTAACAGTTACAATTTGAGAGGTAGACGATCTCTCCCAATTCCTAATCCTAAGATTCCAAACAACAATCACACACATACCATAATTCTAACATATCAAACCATATTTATGCCCCATAATAATAACTTAAAAAGGACTAAATTGTCCTTTTAGCCTTGCGTCTAAAATACTACTTTGAATTATTGGCGGGCTCGGCGCAGCAGAAAATGCTGCAGGTGTCGGTGTAACATTTTCCTTTGTGATAGAGTATAATAACCTTACTATATTGTTGATATTAATAACGGCAAGCAGTGAGAGTCATCTTAAAATTGTCTAAATTATTTTTCTCGTTAATTTTGGCTCCCTTGATTCGTACATTTTGTCAAGATTTATTTATTTATTTTTTTGTTTTAGCCTTTTACAATGAAGGATTTCATCATTTGATAGCAATAAGAGGGCAAACAACAGCAATAAATCTCTAATTTCTTCTCAGAATGGGTATACAGTCAATAGCTATGATTGGAGATCTATTGAATTCCTACAATTGACTAAAGACACCTCTTCGAAAATTTTGGGAGGGTGATGAGAAGCTGGTAGCTTTTACTCCCGGGACTTGGTGTTGACGGGATTGGATGGACAGGTATGATAATATAGAATATGGACCAATGTCTAGTAAATTGAATTTATATTTATTTGATTTTAAGCCTAAATATAAGACTTATAATCATCTAATTTTTAATTAAAAAATTGAGAAAGTATAGAAAAAATCTAATATCTTCATTAAAAATAGGAAAAATCAGCTAATTCTTGTAAGACAAATTCTTATCTAAATTCTTTTTACATTATTTGAAAACATCTACGAGAATATTTTTGAAATTATTCTCTTCTTGATTTGAGCAACCAGGTGGGGAAAGGTTTTGTGGGGTGAATTGTGGGAAGTTACCTTGATTCCCTTGGAACTCTTTGATTGGTCGCTTCCTCCTTCAGGAGATTTGACTTCAATTTAGCCTCAACCTTCTCTATGCTTAGCTTAATATGTGGAGCCAGTTTTATCTCATACAAAACCTCATTGAAGATGGTCCAGAAGTGTTATTTACTTGGTTTGAATTTGTAGTTTATATGAAAGCCATTTTTAAGCTTATTATTTTACACTCCTTTTTGCTTTCATTAAAGTTCATATGTACAAACAATGTGAGAGAAGTAAGAGTAAGAATGATCTCATTGTTAATCACCTATTGCAAAACACTACTTTAAGAACATAATTGATGCCTATTTAACCCAAACCATAATAGGAAAAACAAATATTATTAGTGAAAGTAAATAGATTGCTATAATCAAATACACTTGAAAAAGAAAACACAACACACGACACACAAACTTACGTTATGGTGGATCCCGGGTGATGGTGGTGACGGTTATAGGGCTTGGTGAGGTAGCAGTATGATAGGTAAGGAGTTTTCGGGTTGTGGATAAGGAGTGATAGCGATTATGGGTGGTTGGAATGACAGGGTAACAAGGGGCGGCAGCCCAAACAACAGCAGTTGCTGTTTAGAGCGGTTGGATAACCGGAAAACAACAAGGGGGAAGCGTTGCGGCAATGATAACTAGCGGAAATGAGGGAAACAACTGGCTGGGTGGTTGGAACA